TCTTGTCTTCATTCTCAGTGCCTCTCATGGTTTGATACTCACCGTAGTCCTCCTCGTCCTCCGAGACCTCTCCGACCTCCTCGATCACAAATCGTCCGCCTGTCGCTGGTCCATACCCGTAGGGGAAGTACTTTGACGCCTTCGCCAACACCGCCTGCTTTGCTCTTTGTCTCTCGCCTGCGTACGCAGAGTTCAAACCCTCGTTAACGTTGATCCTGTTGTTGGCCGCATAGACCCTGGGTTTCCACTGGTATGGGTCCATCGGCAAATCTTGAAAGTGCGCGGCGTTGTCAGCGCCCCAGTCCAGGTGCAGCACATAGACGGGAATAATCTGTGCTGGGTCGAAGACGATGTATTCGAGCTCGCGGTTCGCCACGTGTGACTCAGCACCCTCATATGGCTCCGACTGTGTGCGCCAGTTGTCCCCGACGAACATCTGTCGCGCGCGACCCATGATGGTGGCGCACACAATCAGTTTGAGGCCGAAGTACTCGTTCGGCGACGTCGGCCGCGCCCAAGAATCCGTGTAGCTCAAGGCAAAGTCGGCGCTGGGCGAACTGTAGATGCCGCGACCGTAGGTAGACCCACAACGAACCTCGTGCAGGTTTCCATCGTTTCCTCCTTTGTCGCCCTTTGGCACGCGCGAGCCCGGCTTGAGGAAGCCGTGACGGACGATCGAGGGAACGAAGTGGCGCTGCGTGCCGTGAAACGTCATGTAGGGACGTGTGAAATGCTCAAGCTTGTCCTCGAGACGGGTGTGCTTTGCGCAGCACTTCGGAAGGCTTTTGCGCTGGCGGATGAGCTTTTCGCGCAACCGACCTCGGCAAGCATCGAAGCGGGCAGCTAGATCGCGCCGGATGACACACTCGACGTGAAGAACTCGGTAACACGAGGGAATCGACTCGCAGATCTCCCTAGCCGACCTGCCCAGGTACTCCAAGGCGATCTCGTTGGTAGTAATCGCCTGGACAGCCTTCTGTTGAAATTGGTCCGAAGGAATGCGTTGCGTTTCGTTGGCTTTTTTGTTGGCTCGGTTTCGTACCGCCTTTACCAGAGCATCCGTCTCTTGGGCCATCTTCAAGACCACCTTGGTCGCCTCAAAGATTCCGTACGTGCTATTTCCCCTATTAAGCCATTTCTCGACGCAATTCGTCTCGGCCGACTCCTCGATCACGCAGCGAAGGGTAGCACGAAGGCCATCTATGTCCTTGCGCGAGAGGGTGAGGTTGATGAGGTCAAAGAGAGGTGCCGTGACAGGGTAGTGAGTACCAGCTGTGACCTGAAGTATGAGCTCTTCGTAAGTAAAGCAGAGTACGTCGTCCATGGGTGAGGATAATCGGTGGTCGTTGCTGAGTAAGCCAGCGTCAATGAGAGCGTCTGTTTCTTCATCACGAAGGAGAGCCAGCTGAACGATATCTTCTTCAGAGAATTCGAGATCAGCCATCCTGGTTTCATTGGCGTGGCCTGAATTCGCACGATACGGACAGCCGGTCGATGTGGGACTCTGGGAGGGGATGAAGACGTTTATGAATTCCCACAGCTAGCGTGGCGCTAGTTGTTCAAGAGAATAGTTGACAAAGCCGAGAATCGAAGATGCGAGCTTGATCGATAGCAATGCCAATGCAAGTTCTTTGACCAAAACTTCCACACACGTCGCTGTCGATTCTCGACTCAAGTGGAACCCAGACGATCTTTCTGCGGTAGGCGGCAACGGTACTGATTGATGTAGCTCTTGGGGACTGGCTTGTTCAGGAATCCTAGAATGCAGCTCAAAGAAGATGTGTCAAGTCCCTGGACGTTGTTCTACGAAGTTTGTCAAGCTCTGAGATCCGGGATGGTAGACTTATACGCCGGTTTGATTAGTCGCGGTTGTCAACAAGTGATTGATGTGATTCATCTGAGGCCTTGTGGGGCTGGCTGTATTTCACTGTCTGCCACAGTTGTGCGCAGTAGTGCTGCTCTGAAGTGTATTTAGTCTATGACTCTTCAGCAACAAAAGGCCTGTGCTCATGTTAAATGTTTGAATGCGAGGTTATTCGTAAATGTGTTTCAAGCTAGTAACGTGCTAGAAAGGTATAGCGCACATAGGATGACTGCCTATTTTCGGTGAGCCCAAAATAGTCTAGGTCAATCCTCCGCTTACTAAATTCAGATTAAGACAACCATATTGAACAACGGACTGTATATATTTGTCGCGTTAACATATGCTGATCACTGAAGGATTTTGCTCGAACTAAAATGAACCATTCCCATGTCAGTACGTACAGATGCTTTTGATGTGACGAAGAGCTTCCAACACAAGGTCGTATCACGGGTGGGTCATACGAGTTCTGGGCCCATAATCCTCGGCGGTAAGTGGAGATTGGATTGAGCTATGCCATCGGCTTCAGCCCAGATCGAGGTTGAGCAACCGCTTCTCAGGGGGTTGAATGTCAAGGTCATTGATTCAGTAAGGATAATTGAATGAATCTGCGGATCATCATGTCAACAGATTCACAGAATACAGCCCCTCCAACACCAAATCTGCAGTCACATTCTCCCCCGAACGATCGCCTACGATGACCTCAAGCGATGATGCTGTGTGGGACTGACTTGCATTATCTGCTCCCCAACCAAAGTCTTCATGCCAAGTCTTGTACGGGACTGTGTCGTAGTATGCAGTTCCCTCAAATCAAACTTGAGAAGACATTTCAGTGCGCACTTCATGTAGGTAAAGGCGGCAGCCTGAAATCCGGAGGAGCTTACTGCTTGTAAGCCCGGAACACCATCAATGTTTGGAATTATTACCATGTCACTTTTCGCAAGTAGACGCAGAAAGCGGACCCTGCGCCTCCGGTTCGGAAGACGATCCATATTCGTCTTCTAAAGCCTAGCTGCAGATCCACAGCCTGCAGACTCAGCAGCTACCAACACCAGTAGATGCGCCCGGGGAATCCTCAGAGTATCATCCAGGCAAGCGGTCCAGTGGGCTGACTTCTTGGCATTGAATGCGAAATTTGAACAACTCACCGATGGTATACTAGGGTAGGTAGGGTTCGCGTCTTCGTATAAAAGCTCAGGCTCCCTCAAGAGTCCTATTTTCTGTTGGCCATCGCGATTCTTCCACGTGGTCTGACTTCACCGGGATCCCCTCTCAATTCGCACATCTCGTCGGGAGCCGAGTGTGGGAGTCACAATGCTGTCCAATGTTTGGGATTATATCATCGTCGGCGGTGGCCTCACCGGCTCAGTCATCTCAAGCCGGATGCTGGAATACAACAGCTCTTTGAGTGTCCTGCTCATCGAAGCCGGCGAAGATACTCGAGCTCGAACGGACATCTTATATACCAATGCCACTAATCTCATGGGTGGGGAGCTTGACTGGCAGTACCCGACCGAACCAGTCGCAGCACTTAATAACCGCACACTTGTTTTCAATCAAGGCAAGGGCCTCGGCGGTGGCGCTACTATCAATTCTTGTAAGAGCACATCTTGATCTTCCGGAGTGTCAATTGACGATGTTAGGTGGATACACACGGGGACCTCGAGTAGACTATGACGAGTGGGCTGAACTCGTCGGCGACGAGCGTTGGAGCTATGAAAACCAGTTGCCTTACATGAAAAAGGCCGAAGACTGGTTCAACAGCAACAACACCGCCCAGCACGGTAACGCTGGGCCTCTTCACGTGGCTTCTGTCTCTTCGACCGGTCGTGCGTACCCCTTGCGTGATGTTGTTGCCAGCGGCTGGGACCAACTTGGGGTTCCTGAGCTCCCAGACCTCGACAGCAATGCGGGCGACAACATCGGGCGCGCTGAGCTGACCGAGACCCGTCGCGATGGCATTCGTCAACTGACCCCTGTGGTGTATCCTCTCGATGGTATCGAGGTTCTCACCCAGACGCTTGTTGAGAAGATTCTGCTTTCCAGTGGTGTTGACAATGGAGAGCTGCAAGCTACTGGCGTCCAGCTTGCCAATGGCACCCAGATTCTCGCCAACAACGTTATCTCAGCCGCTGGTGCCTATCGCTCTCCGCAACTCCTTATGTTGTCTGGCATTGGTGAAGCGGCAGCATTAGAGAAGCACAACATCAGCGTGAGATTGGATCTCCCCGAGGTCGGGAGAAACCTGATTGACCACATGTCGTTCTACCAATATTGGAAGCTCAAAAGCCCGGAGAATGGTTACGCACTCGGATCCAGTAACCCAATTTTTGGCCAGCCCGAGTTCAGCACGGGGTACCCTATTGATTGGGTGACATCAACGGGGGTGGATAAGACTGGTCTTGCTTCTGCCATCGAAAAGGATGAAGGAGTTGCCCCAGACGCTGCATCTCACTCTCTGCTCAGCGCCAACCGCACCTTCCTCGAGAACTTCGTCATTTACCAGGCCTATAGTCCTTCCAATCCCTCTGTTCCGATGGACGGTTCGCATATCTACACCAACATTGTCTCTTTTCTGCCTACATCTCGCGGAAGCGTCAGTCTTGCATCCGCTGACCCTGCAGATAGTCCCGTCATCAACCTCAACTATCTTGATACGGAGGTCGATCGTCATGTCTACCGAGAAGGGATCCGTCAGATGACGAAGCTGATGCTCGATACTGCCTTCGGAAAAGAGTACATTGTTGGAGAAACTGCTCCTGACAACACCGAGCCAGTCTCGCTGGATAACACTGACGAGTACCTTGACTCCCGTCTGGCCGAAAGCGGCGTCACTACATGGCACCCCCACGGAACCTGTGCGATGGGCAGTGTTGTCGACTCCAATTTCAAGGTCAAGGGCGTGAAAGGCTTAAGGGTTGTCGATGCGTCTGTCTTACCCGTCCCCGTTGCGGCTCATTTGATGGCACCCCTGTACGCCATGGCGGAACAGGCTGCTTCTATTATTACTGGCAATTGACGAGAGGCACGGGCAGAAGTTGACATGATCCAAAACGGATGTAATAGTACTATAGTTAACCGATGTCTAAGCGGATATCCAAACTTTAGAATTAATAAACTACCATTGGCGTCAAAAACACTAGAAAATAGCGCGACGTCTTCTGCGCTTCTCCTGCGTAGCTTCAAACTCCTCCTTAATTTGGTCCAAAAGACCGTCAACAGTCAGCACATCAACAGCAACACCAGCAATACCCTTGGCAACCATGATGGCCTTGTCAAACGCCGCTCTGCTACCAGCAGCAACCTCAAAAGCCGCAGTGTGGGGACCGCCATCAGGTACACTTCCGTTCTCGTTGGTGATGCCGAAGAACGGGCTGATACTAGGGAAGTCATGGCTCAGGTTTCCCTGGTCAGTGCTTCCACTGGGCTCACGCAGCTTGTCGACTTCGGCGTCAGGGACCTCGCCGCCAAGCTCAGTGAAGTACTTGGAATACGAGCTCGCCAAGAGGTCGTTGCTGACCATGTTGTCGTAGCCGTACGGCCTCATGGTCAGATTCAGCTCGGCGCCAGTTGCCAGAGCGCCGGCCTCGAAGCACTTCATCACGCGATCGGTCCACTCCTCCAGAGCAACGTTGTCTGCGGAGCGGATCTGGAAGGAGGCTTCAGCAAGGGCGGGAATGACATTGATGCGAGAGCCGGCAGAGCTGATGATGCCGTGGATCTTGTCGGTGGACCGCGTCTGCTGACGGAGTAGAGCAATGGCGTTGTTCGCAACGATGAGGGCGTCTTGAGCGTTGATACCCTCCCAAGGGGAGGCAGCGGCATGAGCCTCCTTGCCGTAGTACTCAACTTCGAAACGGTCCGTGGAAGTGGTGATCATGTAAGGGGAATCGCCGCCGTTGGTTGGATGAGTAATGAGGGAAATGTCGATATTGTGATCAGCGAAGGCACCGGCTTCGTGAAGCTTGACCTTGCCGCCGAGACCTGAGAATGATCAGCTTCGTATCCAGATTTCGACTTTTCAAAATGCATCTCACTCTCTTCAGCGGGCGTTCCGAACAGAATGACCTTTCCAGGGAGGCTCTCAGCACGCATGATCTCAGCGGTGGCAAGCGCACCACCGACGGATGCAGTCGCGATCAGGTTATGGCCGCACGCATGGCCGAGACCAGGAAGAGCATCTAAGCCGAGGGTCAGCATAATCCTGATGATCATTGTTCCAATTGAGTGCCCACTTACCATATTCGGCATTGAAAGACACGATAGGACCATCTCCGCTTCCCTCGAAGACAGCTACGAAGGCAGTGCTGATGTTGTAGATGGACCTGGTCACGTTCCATCCCTCATGAGCCTCCATGAAATCGGTCAGGAGTTTATGCGCTTCCACCTCCTCATATCCAAGCTCCGGATTGTCGTGGATCTCCTGGTTGATCGGCCACAACTCATCGACAATGGAGTCGACATAGTCGGAGATGGACTGAAAGTACGGGCTGATGTCGGGGCTCGAGCTGTTGGACTGGCGGGGCAGGACAGAAGATGCTGCTGCCGAGCTCGCGCCAAGAGCCAAGATGAGCTTGCTTGAAAGACCTCTGATACCCATGCTGTCTGACTTGACGATGACGTCCTATGTGTTCTTGAAGACAGAGCTTGACGGAAGGACTTCAAAACCAAGTCAGACATGGTAGACGGTCGCCTCTTTATACAGCATTTCCCATCCAGACTCGATGTCTAATCAATAAATGTCATGATTATCTTCTCCTCCAAAATACCGCCCGGGCAGACGTGTAATACCGCCGATGAGCGGATGACGAGCATCATGGCCCTCATTCTAAAATCTTGGCCCTCGTGGCCTTGAACCGCTCGTCGGCTCTTCGTCGATCATTTCAATTCGTTGTTTATCCCAACGGTGGGTAGTGCGGGGAAGTGTCAAACTGCTCTGCCAGTCAAATGTGCGACAGAAACCCAGTGTCGCGGCCCTGTTTACTTGAACGGATGACTGCCAAGAACCCAGCCAGCAGTTTTGATGCTATCCCCACCTGCAACCGGGGCCGAGGGACTTGGCGGTAGAGATAGGTATTTATTCCCTCGCACCACTGCCGCCGACATCTGTCCCGACATTCTTGGCTCCGGGAACGTGGTAGACACCGACCGGAATACTCCATGCGAAAGAAACAAAAGCAGCCGATGTGGGTAGTTTGCCGTGGACAAATCTCCCCACTGTGCTCCTGTCCCCCTCCGCACCGCCATGGGGAAATGCTGGGGGACGGGGTCGACCCTGGTGAGTAAGCTTAAAAAATAGCCGATCGTCTGTTCTTTTGCCGACGGGTTATCTGAAATCTAATCACAATGACTAAAATCAAGTTGGTCTTTGATTACACCATTGGCGGCTCTCTCCAGCCACGCAATTCAGTCAAGAACAGTAAAGTTTCAACGACTTGACATCATTGATTTATTCAGGAGCGTGCAGCAATTAATGCACATAGCGAAAACTGACAACCCCCTCCCCGCCGTGTCCAGCCTTTGAGCCCGAGATATGATTGTGGCTCACATTGCCGGCCCTTTCTTCCTCCTCGAACTTGGCATTCTGCTTCTTCAAATAGTACTTGATAAACAACGCCGTGCCTGCACAAACCAAGCAAGCACCAGACATGACTCCGCCGCCAGCGTAGTATCGAGGCTTCTGGCTATCGGGAAACATGTAGCTGGTGTAGAAGTGTGCAACACCGGCAGCCATGAAGTTTACGATAGCAAGTGCAGCAGCACGCTTGGCCCGCGGACGAGGGAGAGACGCTGATAGCCAGCTAACGCAGAGGTTGTAGGGTGCATATGAGCCAGCAGTCATGAGAAACATGGAGAAGTAGCGTCCACCCAGTGAGTCGACGAACATTGCCTGCTTACAGTTAGCTCAACTGTCTCCACAGAAGATAAACGGAAATTTTGGAAACGGAAACGTACCAAGATGTTGCCGAGGAGGGCAAATACCATCGGGATCGCGATATGGTATCCACGCTCATCCTTGTGCGCAGCGTGGAAAGAAACGCAGAGAGACACGATGAAGGCGAAGAAGTAAGGCGGCGAAGTGAGAAGAAGCGTTGTTGTGCGACCATAGCCAAGGGTTCCGACGATAAGGAAAGAAGTTGTTGAATGACTGGGCTGTGATGAGAGCCATTTGTTGGATGATGAAAAGGTACAGCTTGGGGTCGATAAGTGCTTGCTTGAGACCCCAGAAGATGGACTCTGGGTCCTCATCAATGATACCTGCGTTCTCCTTGCGAATTCTCCACTCCTGTTGTTTCACAGTCAGTCAAGCCAAATAGGCCAAGAGATAGCACGTTAACTTACGGCGTACAACTGCTGGTCGTGAGAGATGAAGAGATGTTTGCTCTGCAGGGGGTAATCTGTGAGGAGAGGGAGAAGCAACAGCGCAATGACCACTGTCATGGCGCCCTCAATGATGAACAGCCATTCCTGGATCGCATTAGTATGGACGCGCCTTCTGAAAACTGTGAAAGACTCACCCATGCGGGCTTTCCTGCTTTGCATTCCATTCTCGAGATAATCCCAGCCGCAATGAGTCCAGAGAAAGCAGTCGCGACCATGTTGCCACCATACAGAATCGCAATCCTCGGCGGCAGCTCTTTACGAGTGTACCAGCACGACATCAGGACGAACACAGCCGGAAGGAAGGGCGCCTCTACCAGTCCCAGAATGAAACGAACGGCAGCGAGCTCCGAGAAATTCTTCACGAATCCTTGGCTCATAGACAGAATGCCCCAAAGCGACGTGATGAGACAGATGTAAAGTGATGGCCGGACCTTTCCAATGATGAGGTTTGAGGGAACTTGGGTAATGCAGTCTGAAAGAAGTCAATCATGGATACCAACAGGTACTTAGCAGAAGTGCCATACATCCAACGTAGAACATGAGAAGGCAAGTATTGTACTCGTTGTTGGTCATATTCAGGGTATCTGTGATTCCTGCGATCTTGGCACTGGCGATGTTATTTCTGTCCCTGATCAAGAAGTCAGTGCCAACGACGTCGCTTCTAGGTCACATCACTCACAGAATATTCAACAGGAACAGAATGAAGACGGTGGGCATGAGGGTCAAGTCCAGCCGCCGCGTCAAGCTCATATCCAGTAGCCTCAGCTCGTCGCCACCAAGGTGTTCCAACTCTTGCGGGAGCGGCAGCTCGTCAGGCTGGAGAGCGCGACGCTTCTCAGCGTGCTCGGCCTCGTACTTCTGCTCTTGAATCGCGTCTGCCATTTTGGTGATCGGATTCGGGGTCGTATCCAGCAAAGTCTGGTTCACCTGCTCCGTCTGAAAGACGAAACATGTTCACAGCCCCAGCGTATTTAACAGAAGGCCCAAACAGCTTGGGGAGATTCATAAACATGACAAGGATTGGGCGAGTTCCGGCGAGAACGCCGGTGGATTTCATCGAACCGTGGGGGCTTCCCCATGTTGGGGCCCCGGATTCTTGGCTTGCGGGGAAAGAACGGGTCGCGGGTACTGAATCCCCTTGAAGAAGCCTCCCGGGGGAGTCACCCGAGCATCGGTGAGAATGCCGATGGCTACATATTGGCAAGTTGATGACCAGATTGGAGAAGTGATCGAATGATCTGCTTTTCCGTCCACACGGGACATTTATTCGGAAAAGAGCCGATGAAACGGTCGGCACTTAGCTTGTGTTGTGCATCTTGGTCCTTCATCCAATAGCAGATAGCTGCAGATGTGCGACACCGTGGTAACTTTGCCATACAATGTTACAAATTAGAGAAGACTCGATGCCCCATCATTGATGCGAATTGAAGCAACATAGAGCCTCGAGAGCGTCTTTCATCGGCAGCTTTACTGCTGTTGGAATCATGTCGGTCTATTCGAGTTTAACGCTAAAGTCTTCTATTTAGATGCAAACTCAAATCCCTTCCTGTTGACTGGAGTCAACGGCTCGCCAACTAAAGCACCGTTTGCCCCCACAACTTCAACAATATTCTTCATAGCATTCAGCTCGAAGTTCATCCTTGTCGTCAGGGCTGCACCACCATTATGGCATGTCAATGTCACATTATCCATGTCCGCAAGCACCTTTGAAACCTGCGGCTCGTGGTAGTGTACATCCAGCGCGGCAGCCGACAACTTTCCACTCTGCAAGGCCTCAATAAGCGCATCCTCCTGTACTAGCTGCCCCCGTGCCGTGTTGACAAGTCTCGCACCATCCTTCATCGCCGCAAATGTCTCGCGGTTGAACAGATCTTGGGTATGCGCGTTCAGCGGGGTATGCAACGTAACACAATCCGATACGGCCAACAGCTCATGCAAGTTGGAATGGAAGGTCGCTTCCAGTTCCTTTTCAACTTCGGGCGGCGAACGAACGACGTCAAAGTAGTGGATCTTCATTCCCAGCGCGGTGCGAGCCTTGTAGGCGAGCTTCTTGCTGATGTTACCCAAGCCCACGATACCGAGGACATGGTCTCGAGGGTTCCACGAGATACTTCCAACCAATTTATGCATGGCTGTGAACTGCTCTGGGTCACATGTTCTCGCTGCCCGCTGCGCTCTCCAGAAGTTGCGGAATACCGAGAGAATCATGAAGAGCGCTGTGTCTGAGACGGCTTCGTCGCTGGCGCCGGCACCGTTGGCGTACCAGATACCCCGGCGGCCAAGCGCGTCGACGTCCGCCCAGTTGAACCCCGCACCGGCGGAAGCGAAGATGCGTACCGACGGTGGCAGAAGGGGAATCAGTTCGTCGTCCCATTGGCCCATCTCACCGCCCGTTTGGAAGTGTGGACGGAAGATCGCTGAGAAATCTCCATACTTCTTTGACTTCAAGGCTTCGATGAAGGATGCCCGGTCGGGTTCTTCGTTCGCCACGACATCGAAGCGATCTGTGAAGGTGTTCTTGTAGTAGTCGTGATTGTATTTGATGTCCTCGCCAAGGCGCAGGACGATGGGTTTCTTCCCCGCCATGTTGGAGTATTTGGAGATGTTGAATACAGGGATTGAAATTGACGACAATTGGGATAAGCGCCGGGCCATAAACTTGTGTAACTCGACCTCTGAAGGTGTGGCTGGTCAAGGAAGTATCCAAACGAGAAGTCGGTAACTTTAAGTGCTCATTTTATCCGCTTGTATTGCGTGCTTTGTGGATCATGTTCACGCATGTTTAGGTGATGTTGTTGGTAAGTTGGCAGTTCCCCGCTCCTGGACAGCTCCGTGTTGTTTCCATGCGGGAAGATGCGTCGGTGAGAAAGCCGACGTCTTCTATCCCCAACTTTCGGAAGTTGTCCGACCAGTAGATGCATTATGAAATACGATGCCGCCACAAATTGGTCACCAGATCGTAAACCAAACTGTTCCGGCTACAGCCTGCTCTCTCTATGACGGCCGGTCGTGAACGTTTCCGCATCGGCGCGGATGTGACCCAGTTGCTGGCCCCAGCTCCGTAGCCCGCTACATCAGAGGTGACTGAATCAATATTTTTGACGTGTGTACGTCCTGCTTGCAGAGTACTCATAGATAGGGACGACGAATGACAAGAACCGCAATATATCTATCAGCCTTGGTTATAATATTGCGAATCGAAACCCGAAGGGTCTTCAATCCAATTATGTCATAGCTCATCTACCAATTACTCGATTACACATCCCTTTGCACGGGTATCCAAGCCTCATTACCAATTTTTGACATCTAAGCATCAACTTCGTTCTGTGATTCGAGTTGTAACATTAAACGTGCTCAACATCAAACTTCTCGTTCGGAACCTTCATTGTCTCTAGCACCGTGCTGGCACTGCGGGGTTCCAAGCTCTTCTTGACAGGGTTTGGTGCGGAGAACACCTCCTCCAACTCCTCAAGAGTACGATGCTTGGTCTCAGGGAAGAAGAAAAAGATGAAGATGGCTTCTAGAATGTCCCTAAATTGCCATGTCAGTTGTCTTTCTCTATAATTGATCCTCCAGGTGTTGCTTACCAGAAGACGAAGACGAGATAAAAGTAGTATCCAATCTTCTCAAAAGCAGGCCCAGAGCTGTAAGCCAGGACAAGAGAGATGGCGGACGACGCGAAGTTGCCGACGGCAGTTCCCTTGGCACGGGTGGTAGTCGTCAAGGTCTCAGCAATGTACATACTCTGCTGAGCCGTCCATCCGAGCGAGAAGACAACACCGAAAAGATACACAAAGGCAATGGTAGTGTTCGCAGCATTGGTGTTGTCCGGATTGTCAACAGCCATCTTAGATGTTCCGGTCATAACAGCGAAAGTCATGCTGCAGAAGAGAATGCTGTAAATGAGCAAAGGGCGACGGCCAACCCTGTCAGTCAGGCGGGCACCGACAACACTGCCGAGAAGACCGAGAACACTGTTGACTGCGTTAAGAGCGAGGACCTTCTGCTCTTGGACGATTCCGGCCGTGTTCATCATAGTGACAAGGTAGTAGCTGGAAAGTGAGTTTCCGGAGGCCTGCAGCTGTTAGTGATGAAATCGGAAGAATGAGCTGAGCCGTAAGTACCTGTCCCATAATGGCCATGCCAATGACGCAGATCAATCTCCTGCGCGCAGAATGGGTATTCCAGAGTTCGTGGTAATCCCACCACTTCTTGTCACTAGCCTCGCTGGAAATCTGCGCCATCATCTCCTTCATCTGCAGTTGTACAATCGGGTGCTCGGGATCCTTCTCGCCGTGAAGCCTGGTAAGAATCTTGGCAGCTTCTTCATGTCGATCGTTGGCAACGAGCCACCTAGGCTATTTACACCTGTCAGCAAAGTTATGGAGAAGGTTAGACAGCGACTTACGCTCTCAGGGAGGAAGAAGACAAAGATGAGAACGATGCCGCTAGTGACCATTTGGATCCAGACGGGGATTCGCCATCCATCATCTCCGGGGATGAATGAAGAGCCGTAGACAACCCATCCTGCAATGATTGATCCAACAGGCCTATTCTTGGTTAGAATATCGGGACTTCAAATGACGCAGGTCTTTGTCTGTACTTACCACATGCAATTGTACAAACCAGTGAGCGTTCCTCTCCACTTGGGATGGGCCAGCTCGCTCACGTAGGTCGGCGCAGAAACGCAGCAGAAGGAGACACCGAAACCAAGAATGAAACGTCCACCCAGGAAGTGAGGAATGTCGTGGCTCGTTGCCCTAATATTCTTGTTAGTAATGCGGATTTCCCAATGTTCAAATTGCAGAGGGTAGTCTTACTGCACCGCGGTGCCGACGATGATCAACGCCGCACCCGTGAACATGCCCCAGCGGCGGCCGAAAAGATCATTTACGGGTCCAGTAAAGAAGATGGCAGCTACAGAGCCGACGTTATACCTAAGATCCCTCGTCAGAAACCAAGTCCTTATATTCATATCGCAAAGCGTCGCTCACATCATGAAGACGATACCGGTGGAAGAGCCCGAGGTTGTCATGTTGAAAGTTCGTTGGTACGAGGTCATGCCATTAAGACCACCTGGCACACGATTAGCGATCTACACCCCATGTTACGCCCACATCTGAGGCCTGACATACCCATAAGCGATCCATCGTAACCATTGAGGGCACCGCAGCAGTATGCGACGAAAAGAACGCCATAGAGGGTGAACATCGACTTGGTCCAAGGCGAGTACTTGCTATCGTCGACTTCGTGCGCGATCTCGTGTGCGACGACCGCGGCGACCTCTGCGGGGGGCGCATCTTCTCTCACGTCGCTACTGGTGTGGTCATATTTCTCGTCGTTTGTTGGCGCAGCCATGTTGGCAGGCAGGAGACGGAACTCGTCAACTTCTTGTTACTTCAAAAGGTAGATAATAAGCTCAGAAGGGCAGACAGTCAAAAAGCCAACCACCTCTCCAAATCCTCCCAGGCGCACACCTCTTTATAAGCTCCAACTGCCTGATCCCAATGGCTCGCTTCTCCCACGCTCCCTTGGCTTGCAACCATGCCACCCAAGAAAAAGCCATGCAACGCCAACGCGTGAGGTGCCAAACCCACCGCGTATCCACATCCGTGGGTTCATCGAAACAGCTGAGCTATCCCCGCAATACCCCAGACCGCGCGATCCCCCGGCCGATCACATGAGGAGGTTGACGGCGTGTGGTGCTAGGGTGGGATGCGAAATCCGGGTTGTGTCCGGCATTGCACATCGGAGCGCAGCGAAGAGCCGCGGTAGGAAATTGAACCGGATCGCCGAGGCGCGTCGTGATTGGAGGGGTTAAAGGTGTCGAGCAGACGAACGACGGGTTGGTCCATGGCGTCGCTTGGCGATCCTTTGCCGATGGGGTGAGCGGTGCTGTCGGCTCCGGGTTCCCCGAGAGTACGCTGCTAACTATGCCGCGGCGTGGGTCAGTCGCAACGACTAGAACATGTCTTCACACTGTTTGGTGAAACTAGGAACCATATTTTCTGATGGCTGATCTCTATTCCAGACTTCTGGTTGACCTCGGCAACGTTCCACGTTCTCGGGATGCGCCACGTTGGTTGGCCTCTGTTAACCACCTGCGCGGGAACCTTCATCAGGTGGCGTGCGCGAGATCATGGGATAGGTAACGAGATTCAAATACACGAGATCTTCTCAGGGCGCTTGGGTTTCTGCGTGTTTTGCCGACATCTGCCGGATTCTGCGGCATCGGCCGGGGTAACCGGGCCGGACTTGAATCCTGCTTCGCCGGCTCATGCCAGGCACAAATCATAATCTGCAGTACTGAGGGAGATGCCACAGACGATTCAAATACGTCCAGATTGGCTCTCCGTAGTACATTGAGTAGGTACAAGAGCCTGGCTCGAGGTGCAATATGTACAGCTGGAGAGGCCAACTCAACCTAGATCCGCCTCTCGACCCTGGTGTCAGGCAACCAAAGTCTCTTGCTTGGCATCTGGTTTTCCATCTGTCTCTCTACATTGGTACATCGTACCGGGTAAAAGCTCTTACCACCTACTTAGCTCAGGGTTATTGTCCCTGAAATACGAACTCTTATTCTCGTTCGACATGAACATGACATCATGAACTTATTGGCCTGTCTCCTAGTCTTTGCAGGGGGCCCAACCGACCCATCTCGGCTCCGGCCGGCCTTCCTCGGGCCACATCCCCGCGTTGTCGTTCCCACTGTCAACCGCCTGCAGTCATTTGAAAAGCGGGCGCTGTGGGTCGTTTCCACCTTCTGACCCGAGGAATCTTTCGTTGCGAAAGTCTCGACTCGGTGTCGGCGATGAGCACCGATGTTGGGCCATCTGAGCAGGCGACGACGAAAATCTGTGTTTAGGGGATGGTTGTGTTTGTCCACTCTCCCGGTCATGATCATTTGTAATTCACTATGTTACTTGCTATTCAAACGGAATGCTAGCGCTACCACAGTGTGCAAGGAAAGCAGCATTCAGTAGCCTCAACAAGTTCCCAATCCCAGTGATCTGACGTCCGGGCAAATTCATCCCTTAGCCGTCCTGAGTGCCAAGTTTGTTCAATATGGTGTTTTCTTGGAACACCGGCTGAATCTATGCATGCCAAAATTGGCTTTAACCCGACGAACGAAAAGAATTGACTGGGCTCAGAATACTGTCCTCTATCTGGTCTCTCCCGCACTTGTGTGGGTAGGACGTGATCCTTGGCATTAGTCGGTTTACAAGGTTTGAACATCAATTCACTACCTTATCTATTCTCATATGAGATGCTCATCATGTCGACAACATGTGCTTTAATCGATCACCCTTCGCTAGGTCCGAATTTTTGTGGCTGGACACTATAGTCGAAAGAGACAAAGGCGCACGGCCACATGATTTAAGCCCCGCGGTCATTTGATCTGAACCCCGCGATGAATCACACATCAACTACACGCGAAATTCCATCAATCGCAATCTATTGCGGCTTGCACAACATTGCCCCTGTTTGCGCAATCTTATAGTCCAATGGGATCAGACGGTTTGGAACAGGAACCGACCGAGGGACAACAGCCGCCGCCGCAGGCTTCGACTACCTCTGCACCAGAGAGGGAAGAACAGCACCTGCTTTCAAGAGGCTCTGGAAGTGACGGCGGCGTTCCTTCGGTCCATCCGACTGCGTGCTTCAATTTCCGATCAGCAAGACAACGATGCGATCGTCGCCTGCCTTGGTAAGTCGAATATTCATCTGTTCGCAGCCAAGATGGAATCAACCGCTGACATCATGAGGCAGTTCGCGATGTGTTTCTCAGGATCGAGCCTGTCGATATCCATCTGGCTCTCAAAGAGGTCGCAAGCACGGAAGTGTAAAGTACGAAGACTCCTTGCGAGAGTTAACATTCCATTGGCTGATTTCGGGCCAGTAAGCCGGACACCGTGGAAAAGATACTCGCACGCATCAACGAGAGCCCCTTGCGTGCTCAGGTCATCGCTGCCCTCCTTCGCGAACACAGCGGACAGACATTTCCAACGACACCACCGATACCTTCAAGACCTCATCCTGCCCCTACCATCGCCGAAGATGCAGTCTCTAGTTGCATCCACGTTGCGACTCAACATCATGAGTCATTCCCCCACGACAATCACCGACAAAGCCTTGGCCGAGTTTTCACACCAAGCGATCAAAGCTCCGTGGTGTCACCTTATCATATTATGGCCGCAGCTGCAGCAGATATGACTCCTTCGCAATATGGGGGAGCTTCACCCATTCTCGACCCAGATTTGACCGCACATTTCAGTCATGCTGAAACTCCAGACCCCATTTACAAACGCCTCGAAACATACTTCAGTAACAATTACTCGTCTGGTATCTCCTGTGACATGACATTGCTGACAAGATGGTGGCCAGCACCTCGGATTACTTACCCTAAGGACTGGCAGATCTTAGCATCCCAGCCGATAGACAGCACTCTCAAACTAGAAGCCGATGCCTGCGACCCAATTACTGCCCGTTTGATTGACAAGGAGGATGTGGACCTGTACTGGAGTCTGTAAGTATGGCCCTTCTGGTGCTGCATCAGGGTTAGGACTGATCACGATGTTGGGTTCAAGCTTCTTCCAAATACGCAACTCTTTCGTCGGCCTTCTAGACCCTTTACTCCACACCTCCGAATACGTCTACTCAATTTCGTTTACGCTGTTCTCAGTTGTTTGCGCGATGGGATGCGGCATCTCAGGTCGAGCAAGAGACCGGATTCTATACCCGACATTGCTATCGATCGCGGAGGCCAACGTAAGATGGTCCATAGCCATGCCCGTCAGATCAGTGGAGCTGATTCAAGCCATCATCAACTTGAAATACTGGGCACCTCTTTGCGAAAGACATGCGGATGATCCTTACTGGCTTCAAGTCAGCTATGTAGGTAAATGGGTGCAGCATCTGGCAACTGGGCACTGTCACTGACTACTATCCGTGAATTCACTAGATCGCACCATTGGCAAGAGAGATAGGCATCAACTCCCCTGATGCCGTTGTAAAGCTGGTGAACGCAGCCCAGCCAAACGCGACCAGTGAGTGGAAGGAACGTCTCATGCGAAACTTTGAGAGAACTTGGATCTATGTTTTTCTTGCTGAAAAATCGTTTGGGATCACCACTGGCCGTTATCTCAGTGTTTCGTGGAGCGAGTTGCCCCAATCCGTACCTGATTGGTGGCGGAAACCGATGACAAGTCCCACCGATCGTATGATTTGCGGTATCATAGAGATCAGAGGAAAGCTTGTGAGTAAATTGCTACTGGACTCTGCCTAGATGGAGCATCAGTGTCCGCTGACCAGTACCACAGTTGACAGCTTTAGGAAAACATTCGCTCGTAGATAGAAGCCTTTCAGCCCTGTTGGGCTGGCACTCGGAAGCGTTCGGGATCCTTGAGACTACTCGGGATCTCCGATGTACCCCAGACGGCTCACCTTCGTCACAGTATCTTCCGATTCTCGATTTCTACATGGGTCATTCACTGTTGGTGCTCAGCGCAACTGCGTTGAAGGACATGAGATCCCTTGACAAAACCGAAGCATCGACAGAGATTTCAATTGTCACTGAACGAACGTTCAAGGTTGCTTTGCGCGCGCTCAATGTCATTCTCTACGATGCAATTCTGCATGAGATGATTCTCGGAATCCAGAACAACATGTATATCATGATTGCTCACGCCATTACCGAGATAATTCAGGTGGGTCTCTCTTTCAGCTCATATGCTTCCCCTCGGACTGACATTGAATGCACTGCTTTCTTAGGCCATCAAGCGCGGATGCATCGCATCCTCCGACGCAATTGAAGCTGCGACCAAAGTTCAGGCGACTTCGAGACGACTGGAGAAGCTAGGCCAACAACTGCCTTCGTCGTCCCCGATCCATCTATATAAAGGCCTCGCCCGTGTTTTCGCAACAGATCTGAGGAGGACTATGAAGTCCAAAGAAAATGATTTTGCCCAAGACGGGGAAGAAAACACGGATGAGCCTCCAGATTGGCTTAGAGCATTCGATGGAGGATCGTTGGACTCTGCCGCATGGCTGGACATGGGCTTTCTGAGCTCTGGGCAACCTCTTTCCGATCCTACTCAATTCGCAGGCGCCGAAAGTCTCAATGGACTGTTATTTCCCTAGACCTCTGTGTCCCCCTGCACATGCTGAAAAGGGGCATTACACGCGAATGAGGGCGCCATCTGTGGAAATCGACTTTCAGGACAGATAAACCTAGTTGAAAACGCTTAACACGACTTTATGAACCAGTCTAGTGCAATTGAATCTCGTACGTCACACTAATAAACAACGGGCCGCAAATATGGAGAAGTCTCTACTCGTAATTACAATACCAAAGATAAGCTTTCGCCGCAAACTTTGAGTTCAAGTTCCCCATGGATCTTGAACCTTAATTACATCCTGCCCCCGACCACTCCCGTGGGACTAAAACGTGACTTGTATTGGCCTTAGTTCTTTACAGATATAACATAGAAATGGAAAATAACTTCGAGCGAATATTGACAAGTTGTGATTTGCTCAGGGAGTATAGCTGGTTGTTGTGTAACTACATGGGCCGTTCACACTTAGGCTTTCCTCTTCATCGAAGCTGCAAGAAAAAGACGCATGTCTTAATAATGTTATTGAGATACCAATTGATGGAGTGTATCTCAATGGATGTGCTAGTGTGCCTGTTGCGCATTGTGTCAAGTATTCAGATTTGATGCAAGCACTCGCGGCAAGTCCACAAGTAAAGCTTCCACCAGTATCCATGATGCAAATAGTTCAGTAAATTTCAAGTGAAAGAAAAATAGTGCTGCCTTTCTTAAGAACCTATCTGCTGTCTATCTCGGTTCTGTTGATTTCCCAGGCGATAGCGTCTCCAAAGAGCTTTGCCAGCCTCCGCGAAGTGGTGCCAGAGCCTAGATCATCAATCAGTATATCTCTTCAGTGGACGAAACGGATACGACGTTACCATTCATGGCTTTCTTCAATGAAAGGACCATTCGTGATACCCTGATTCTTCGACTTGGAGTTCTCAAGTGATAAATGACGGTAGGTTATGATCGATAAAAAGCATAGTCAAGCCACTCGTGCATGTCGATGGTGTTCAAGTCAACTTCCGGGATTTCGAGGTCGGCAAGCATTTCGTGTAGCTTTTCGAGCCCGCCGTTTTGTCGTTCTTCCCATACGCCAAGTCGTCGGCGCCGCCTCTCATCCAGAGCTCGCTTTGCCGCACCTTTCTGATGATGGCGCAGCACCCTGTCAAGAAGGCCATTCAAAAGGGACAATACAACGCATGCGAGCCAGCCTTTGACCGTGACGGAATTCGGCAGCAGGGTACCACCTGTCGCGGCACCGATAGTGCCTCTGAGTCTCAGTTCGGACATGGCCGCGGGCCATGTGTGATTGGAGGCGGATGCCATAAGCCAGCAGCGCAACGGCGAGGGCGGAGAAAACGATGAGCTGTGCAAGGATTATGTCACTCTGTCATGGGCTCGATGCATGGAGTCCACAGAGGGTATAAAGTCGGCGGCCAGGCCGCGAAGTCGGACCTGCGATATGGTGGATTGGAGATGGCGGAGTACCGGCAGTGTCGGACAACAAAAGTTCAGCTCTGTGTGAAGGCTCTCCAAGTGTCCGACCGCCGGCCGGTGCGGCACGCGGACCATTGACGTTGTTCTACGGCTAGAGTCAAACTTTGATCCGATGAAACAGCGCGCTCGAATTCTATTACCTCCACCAACTAACATTTCTGCTGAGCTTGGATCAATTGATCCGATGTTTCTGGACTCACTGATTGGTGACGACAGAGGCCTGGAAGCCGGCCCCGCCGCCCCGGACATCATCGGAGGCCGGTTAGGGCAGAAACAAGATGAGCGGTAGATCACCTATTGGAACTGAGTCAAACTACTTGTCAAATGTAAGTTTCTGGTCTGGGGTTGTAAAGCGTTCTGGAAGAATTCCGTCCACTTTCTTCTTTGGTTTCAGAGAACGACGCGAATTCCATTCCAAACGCTACAACGATGCAGCAATACACGTAAAGACGAAGCGACTGATTGGCCGCATTGACGTCCGTTTTGATCGCCAGCGGATCTTTGGGATCTTTGGCGGACCAAGCCCCATCTGCCAAATACGAGTGCGAACAGTGCAATACGACGGAAATGCAGTGTGGCTGACTTGCCGAAGTGGCGCCGAACCAGGACTACTCCGTGAGAAATTCTCTAGAAGGCGATCCTATACGTCGTAAGGATTAGATCGCTAACGTGTAAACCCGCTTATTTCCTTCAATCGAATAGCCCTGTTCGTCTCAACGCTTGACGTTAGGATGGTAATGTGTCACTCCAATTTCCAAAGCCCCCCCGCATTGGGTAAAATGTGATAGCAAGCCGCATTAGAGACGCGGCTTCAGACGAAAATCGCCTCGTCTCCGATGCCACTTGCGGGTTGGTGTTGTGGAAACAGTTCCCCAACCGTGGGCCACGTCGCTTTCCATGTATTCGCTTAGGTATGGAGCACCTGGAGATGCATGCTTAATCGTCATCAGGCTATGAACTACGTATGACTGCCGTGCGCTAGCGCAGGTTCGTGGATGACGACGGGGGCCAAATGGAGGCTGTTGTGGACTGGTTCCGCCCATACTCGCGGTACCATCAATGCCATCGGTATATCCATTCAGGTAAGGCTGAGCAGCATTCGCCGAGATTTCACAACATGCCGAGACCGATTGCGATCCAAGATGGGTGATGATCTAGAGATGGGACTGATGGAGAAATTCCGAGTAGGGGCGCAGTAGTGGTGTTGAGCAGCATCTTGGGGAGTGGAGGGTCGTACAGATGATCAGATAGGGGTATGGTTCGTCTCTCACGATAATAGATAAATATCATCCTTTCTCTGTTTGTCTTCTCTCGAAACACTCACCATCCCATCTTCTTTCGTTCCAATCACATTTCATTCATTATCCCCAACCCCAGACCGCCAACCATGTTGTCTCCCCCAGTTCTTTCCGCCCTATTACTGGCCGGCTCTGCTGCAGCCGGAAGCTCGAAGTACGGGCGCCGTGACTTGTTGGTCACCGACAGCGTCAGAGCTGCCTGTGACCAGCTGAGTGCCATCGCCTCCAACGCGACCCTCTTCCCCAATTCGACCGCCTACGAGACCCAGCGTATCAACGTCTGGGATAAGAGGGCCAACCTTTCCCCTGCGTGCATCTATATGCCGAGTACTGCGGATGATGTTGCCAAGGCGGTTCAGATCTTCCACACCAACAAGGCCCCTTTTGCTGTCAAGGGTGGTGGTCACATGAACGTGGGTGATCCTTTTGGCGCCGACTCTCCTGCCCCTTATCCACTAACGGAATGTGTCGACAGTACCCCGGATCCAACACGATCGACGACGGTATCCTTCTCGCCTTGAATGGATTGAACGCTCGCAAAGTCAACGCCGACGATAACAACATCGAGGTTGGACCTGGCAACAAGTGGGTGGATGTTTACCAGGAGTTGGCACCCTATGGAAAGTACGCCATCGGCGGTCGTCTCAAGACCATTGGTGTCCCCGGCCTCACCCTGATCGGTGGTGTCAGCTACTTTCTCAACAAGTATGGCTTCTCTATGGACAACGTCCTCAGCTATGACGTGGTTCTCGGAAATGGCACTCAGGTCGTCGCCGACAACACCACAAACACTGAGCTCTTCTGGGCTCTCAAGGGTGGCGGCAGCAACTTTGGAATCGTCACCAAGTTCACCTTGAAGACCTACGACATCCCTCTGGTCACCAGCACCTTGCAGGTCTTCCCCCAGGATGCCATCCCCGATTTCATCAAGGCCGCCTGCGACATGGTTCTTTCTGAGGATGGAAGCGTCGGTGCCGGAGCTGTCATTAACATGAACTACAACATGACCACCAAGGAGACTAATCCCCAGGTCTTTGGTCTTCAGGAGACTACCGAGTCGCCCCCTTCTCGCTTCGCCAACTTCACCGCCATCCCTAACGCTATCACTCGCGTCCACAATGTCACCAAACCCATTTACTGGCATGCCCAGATGGAATCTCCGAACCAGATGTTCCGGTAAGCTTTGAGCGTTGATGATCCTTAGTAGCAGTAGCTGACCTATCCTGCCAGCATCCAGTTCGCTCACCAAACCATCAAGCCCGATGCCGACCGACTCTACGAGATCTACCAGTCTTGGGTCGAAGCTATTCAGGATGTTGCTGATGTCGAAGGCCTTCGCCCTACTTACATCTTGAACCTGCTTCCCGCATCCGCTTTGACTCCCTCCAAGACCAACGGCATTGGCAACACCTTCGGTCTTGAAAATGATCAGCCCTACATCTGTATGTGACATAGTACGAATCTTAGGCTCTCTTCGTTCTCAACTAACACACCAATGCAGGGTGGCAATTCACCACTTCTTGGGCTCGCGCTGAAGACGATCTCCGAATGACGGCTTGGCACGAGTCTCTTCTCGCCCAACACCACGAGATCAATAAGGCCAAGGGTCTCGCTACCGAGTTCATCTACATGGGTGACGCTGGCGAGTTCCAGAAGCCGCTCCCTCAGTATGGCGCTGCCAATGTCGAGAGAATGAGGTCCGTTCGTGACCAGTACGACCCTGACTTGACCTTCACCAAGCTCAGCTGGGGTGGCTTCAAGCTTGGTTACTGAGAGTAACTTTACCATACCAAATTCTCGATGGCTTCGTAGCTGAACCCACCGCATTTGTATAGACATCTTTACCTTCTCTTCTTTTACATAGTTACATACATTTATTTGAGGCTTCTATCGCAATTGTGCTTCTTAATGGCTTCGACGTGCCTGCATTCTGACCAAACTTTAATGACATTACTTTCTTACATTGGGTGACTTCTTTCCTCCTTATTCCATTCCGAAAACAGCCTCCTCTTCTACGCTATCTGTCAAGTAAGTGAAGTCGTTGACCAAACACTCCCCAATCAGTTTGCACCTCTCAAATCGCATTCCTCTCAGAAACGCACGGATTTCGAAAGGCAACTTCGAAGAGACTCCGGTCTTCTCGGAATAATAGTTGGATGCTTCTCCCAAACGCCGAATGACGAATGGCACCCGTGCTCCTCTAAAAGAAATGACAAGGTCTCCTAAACAAGACCCAGGTGGCAAAATCACCCTGCAGCTATCGTCGCGAGTTACGTGGTTGTCGAATGTTCCTATTCTTTTCCTTTCCACTGCTGAGGACCTGTCGGTGATGAAGTTCACGTGGCTCCCCGCGTCATTGGACCAAGCTGTCCTACCGGATCCGCCGGTCGTCTTCCTACCGCGATCGAATAAATGGCCTTCGATTGTGTCATGCCCCAAGTCAACGTCATCATTCAGAAGACACCAATCTTCCTCATCAATCGGAATATCAGATATGTCTGGGTCTTCATGAGCCTTCTGCCACTTGCCAATGTGCTTCTGCATGAGAAAGCATCTCCATCGAGAGATGATTTCCCGTCGCATCTGCCCGAGGTCGTCTTGTAGTCGGTCCCTAATGTTTTGGAACGACGCTTCATCCACATCTCGAAGGGTTATCCAAGGCCCAAGGAAATTGATCTGGCCTAAGCATGAACCAATCGCGTCAAGACGGGAATCATTGGCGCCTGCCCACCTCATGCTATCTTTTGTGATTTTCCTCCGCTTGTCTTGGTCTTCTTCTGTCTCCTTGTCGAGGAAGCTTAGAAACGTAGGCCCAATGAACCCTGATAATGGCAAGTCTGGGAACATTGGACAAAGTCTTTCGTTGATGCCAGCCTGGACCTCTCTAATATCAAAGGTGCTAAGCTTGGCTTGTTGCGAATTCTGCCACCTTGTGTGCCTTTTGATCATCTCAACGCCCATCTGGCGCCTCAAAGCTTCGATTCTTCGTGCCGCTTCACTCCAATTCCAATCTGGAACCCATGATGGGAGCCAACCATAGGGGGAGGCGAAGAAGGGTTGGAAACGGACAAAGTGATTGACATGACTAAGCATGTCAAAACTCTCACTAGTGGTCATCACGAATCTTGCCAGATCTGCATACACCTCAGCTGGATGCTTGCTGTAGTCAACAGCCAACTTCTTGTCGTCCAGATTGATGTTTGCTGATATTCCCAGGAGCGCGAACACCTTGTCCCGGGGATCCGATGCCTCAAGCTGACGCGCTCTCATGAGCATCTCGGTAATGTCATCACTTGGCGCCGTGTAATTTGCGATTTGGGAATACCAATAGGGTCGGAAATTCTGAAGACCGTGGGTGACCTGGTAGGCGCATCGAGCTTGAAACATTTCCTGTACAATATCGATTTTCTCTCTTGATTGAATCGTCAGGCTGTACTGTCTCTGATAGCTTGGACGAAGAAGAAGCATTTTGCAAAAGTCGTCCCATGGAATCCTGCGGCAGCCACACTGGATCGAGACGAGCTTCGAAACAACAACCTCCTGAAGCACCCACACCCTCGAGAACCATTTGTGTGATAGAACAGATGCCTCAACATCTTGTATGGTGCCTCTGAAGGTTGTCAAGCTTTTTTGAAGTCGAGATGGTCGATCGTAGTCTTTGTTGCCATGATTGTCAAGAGCCCACATGCTGTTTCTTTCCAAAAAGTTCCAAGCGCAGTGAGTTGTCGTTCTCCCGTTGTCATTCCCAAGATAGATTATCGTGTCACTGGATGAGGCGTAGATATCACGCATCTGCTGAACTTGATGGTTGCGCTCATTCACATTGACCTGGTTGATGCAAATGGCATCTGCCCAGACTCGAATAGGCTTATCTCTTCGGCGTGTGTGACGGAGTGCATCGGAAATATTGCGGCCGATTGGCAACTGTTGCCCATTGATTTTAGCCGTACCACCATTTGTCTTTCGACCCCAAACGTATGACAGAGTGACATATGACGTATGTTCGTCTTCGCAATCGGAAAGTCGTGTTGATATCAGGCTTCCATGTAGTTCCGCATCAATCCTGTCAGCAGGGAGCAAAACCAGAATCCTGATTGAGTCCGAATGTGGCAGTGGGAAGTAGATATCAGGGATGGGTGTAAGCGGTGCTTCTGCCATATTAGATGTCACAGGCAAGAGTAGCGGAGAAGTAATTGATTTGAGTTGTCTTGGGAGACCCTTTCTCAGCTTAGCACACTGGTGGCTGAATTCGAAGGACTGCCAGTCGAAGACTCACTTTGTACACACATCGTGATCGCAACAAAAGGACACCTTGGCACATTGGAGGCGGGGAATTGAAAGCAGCCTGCCATCCACTGTGGATCATGCTGCTGCGATTGGATCGGGGACTGCGAGACTGGGCACTTGTATCGCGATACTGTTTTCCATTGGTCGACCAGAGGGTGAGAAAATAGCGCGGATCCTCGCCGTGACAGTTGTGGTGATGTAGATCCCGTCAAAGGATTGATCTGCCTTGGCAACTTGAGTGGCTGTTCAATTCACAGCCATCCCACAGCCGCCCAATAACTGGATGATCGCTTGGCGAGTAGCACCAGGTCACCTATGTTCAATTTCACATTTCCGTGATCTCTAGTCACCACCGTAATTCTCTAATCACTGCGGGCTATTGACAGTGAACAACAACGGTACACATTGCACACCACTTCGAATCGCTTGATGGAATTGAAGATGTTTGAATATTATGGCCCTTGAAACACAGTCTTCAGCAATAACTATAGAATTTATGCTGCTGATAGCTGAGTCCAGGCAGTCATCGTCTCATGACGCAGCCGCTAGGCAGCAACAAAGTCTCAAAAGGGCTATGCCAACGCAAGACTGTCTCATTTGCGTGGTGAGGCGGCAAATTGTACCCTGTAGGTATGCTGTCACACTGTGGCACAGGTCACAGTTCCTCGTAAATCCTACACTTTCTTGGGTCTACGCGCCTTTTGCCAGAAACTTCGTCTTTCGCTTAATCCGCCGCAACGATGTCATAGAGCCGAAGTGGGCGATTTGCCAAGGATTGAAATGAGAATAACTATCTGAGTCTCCCGGCCACAGTGAGACTAAATGGTCGTATTCTGGCAAAACCTAGGCCTCGCTCTTTTTAGGTCTTTTGAGCTTAGTCCATAACCTTGCTGAACTCGACGTTCCTACCACCGCCTCCCCACAGCTGGTTCTCTAGTCTCTTATCTTCTTTTCTTTACCAACAAATTGCCATGGAGATCAGCCGCGTGTTCCAACGTGACAGCGACTTCGATCGAGAATACGAGTCTGGCAAAACGGCCACTCAAGTCATTGGCGGAGGCATCATTGCTGTCATTGTCATTGTCATCGTGTTGTTCATCTCGTCTATGATAGCCGCTTGTTGCGTATGCAGCAGGCGCAAGGAAAGAAGACGTCAGCACGACTTGGAGATGAGAAAATATATGGGCGAAGACCGATCAAGCACAGCGTCCAACAATGCACATTCAGCTGGAGCAGGCGCTTCCTCCACATCACCCTATGGTCAAGGGACTTATCCTAGCCATGGATATGCCTACAACAACAATACAGGCTACAGCTACAACAAGAATAACGGGAACACGTCGAATGATGACAACGGAATGCCTCCAGCATACACAGCCAGAGATGGGGGCTCGACCAACGGAAACAATACCCAGTCAGGTGGAGGAATTGGTACGGCATTGTAGCAGGCGGTTCAGTCAAACTCTAGCAGTCATTTGTTTAGTGAATCGCGGACAGAAAAAAACTTGTTTAATCTTGAAGATACCTCTTAGTTAATTGTCCTCCCGCCCAGCAATACACAATGCCCGACCACACATTCCTCTTTGACACATTGGCTCTCAGTCGGACAGGCCCTAATACTTAGACAATGATGTATTTTTCCCGGTGCTTGTTTAATTCATGCCATGTTGAATAATACCGTCTTCCGCTGCTTATCGCTTGTGAGGATGTGCACTTTTGAAATTTCGGCGATTAGTAACACAGGGTCTACGTGAAAATCGGCCCAGGACGCACAAGAGATACGGCGGAATCAAGACAAATTTTCGAGGCGACTGAGATTGCATTGCTATAGTGGAAGTAGACCTAGACGACTTTTCATTCTGCCTTTTAATTTTCCATGATTTTCCGTTACACCGCCAACTTTTCCTGGGGCCCAGCAAAGGCAATAAAAAGCAGCGACACAACTTTTTCCCAGGCTCAGAAAAAGTGAGCCCGCAAAGTGCTGCAGGATTGAAGCAGTAGGAAAACACGAGACAAAATCATACTCCAGACCGCAGTTGCCATTAACGACAGCCCCACCCCTCCTTGCAAAATAAGTGACCGGTCACTTATTTTGCAACATTTACTTGGCAACACCGATGTGCGAGAAGCACTTCTTGAAGGAGTCGGCCTCAAGAGCGAACAGACCGCCATGGTCAAGGAGGGTGGCGGGGTTCCAGATCTCGGGGTCGAGGCGGCCGAGAAGACCGGTGTAGCTGGTGAGACCCTGGGGCTCGGTGACACCCCACGGGTTGCGGAGGACGATGTACTGCTTGTCGCCGATGACGCAGTATCCGAGAACGGAGTAGGCGTGGTTGGCAACGATGTTGGCACCGTGGAACTCGCGGCCGGTGGCGTAGGTGAAGGCCGTCATGGGGTTGATGGTCTTGTTGTTCAAGCTGTTGGAACGAACCAGGCCCAAGAGGGTGTGGGCAGAGTGGTTGTTGCACTCGTAGTAGTGGGGAGTGCGGCCGTTGATCTGGGCCATGGCCTTGATGGGGTCACCGCAGTGAGTCTGGGTGATATCGGGCTGCTCCGAGTTGGTGCCAGTGATCCACTTGGCGAAGGCCTTCTCGTAGAGCGAGGGCCAGATGTCAGCGCCGTCGCTGGAGCGGCAGTAGAGGGGCTCGTTGTCGGAGTTGTTGATGGGGATCTCGTAGTTGACCTCAACAGTCTCGGTGCGGTTGTTCTGCTTGCCTCCCTTGTCGTGGAACTTGATGGACAAGAAGCGCTTCTTCTCGTTGCCGTGGGTGTGGACGCGGGTGGCGCGGTTGATGGCGCAGGGGTCGGCCCAGAAGACGGAGAAGAGGGCAGAGACGAACCAGGAGTTGCTGGAGCAGCCCTGAGTGGGGTCGTCGAAGTTGCGGAGGGTCTCGCGGCGGTCACCAACGCGGAACATGGTGATGTCGGAGATCAGGCGCTTGTTGACCTGCTGGAAGAAGTAGTCGTACATGTCGCGCCATGAGGCGTTGGGTGGTTGCCAGCGGCCCTTCTCGCGCATTCTGAAGGGGGTAACCAACTCGTTGATGGACATGGTAACCTCGCGGTTGGAAACAGTGCGGGCGAGCTCGTGGGCGTGGAGGACCAGGCGAAGCTTGCCGTTCTGCATGCGAGCAACCTTGACCTTGGTCTCCTTGATGTCCTTGAGACCAATCTTCTCGAGGTCGTCCAGGCGGCGGACACCAGAGAAGTCGGGGGTCTGGAGATCACGCTCATTGAGGATCTTCATGTCCTTCTCGTCGTACATCTCCGCCTTGCGCTCCTTCTCGTTGAGCTTCATACCGGCGTACAAGACGGACTTGTGGCGCATGTCGAAGAGCTCATCGTAGTCGGTCTGGAGGACATTCTGGAGGATCTGGGCAGCGGCCATGGACTCGCGATCGATCTTGCGGCCGATGAGAGCCTCAGCGAGGGCGTACGGGTTGACGGCACCAACGCAGGGATTCTTGGGGGGAGAGTCGGGGCGGGGCTCCTTGCTGAGATCGTGATCCTTGCTCATGTCGACGAGGTCCTCATACTCGTCGATGTTGCTCTGGGTCGAGGAGCCGGGCTGGCTCTCGATCTTGTGTCCGAGGATGGCCTCGACGAGGGCGAGGACATTGCTGTCTCTTTCGGTGTTGCGAATGTCACCCATTTTGAAGTTAAAAGTTATGTAGAGTATGTTGTAATAAGTTGATAAGATGTTGTGCTTGATGCTGCTGTTAAATGAAGACTAGAGCTGAGATCCTGCTGAATATCCAAAAGACAGCTGAAGGCCGGGGTGTTCGTCAAGGTTATATACTCTTCTTGAATTGCTTTTTGACCACACTTTCTCAGCCTACTTCTCAAACTTCGGCCCTGCAAGCCTGTAAGGTGAATCATGAATGCGCAAACCCCAACTCAAACAGTGTTATGCGTGTTCGCTATCGGTGCGAAAGTTTTCGCATGGTATACTGCGGAGAAAGTCGAGGTGAGATTCGGAAAACAGGCGCCGAGACTTTCCATTGCCGGACTCCTCATACTACACCACAATGTCTCCATCGTCGTATGCAATCTCGTAACATCAGCGAACTACTGGTCTGAGTGTCAGGTAGCAGTTTCCAATCAGATGCCCAGACGTGAGCTGTGTTTTCACATGTGAGTACTACATCGTAAGCAGGATCTCCACAGATGCTGAAGCAGAATTAGCGCTAGATGAAGTCAAAGGCTTACGAGAATTCGTGCCTAATTGTCCGTGAGGGGGTGTCTGGGTTTGCTTTCAGCACGAACTAGAGCTCGCAGGCAGCGTGACGACTGGTGATGTAGGTTTTGATGAAACCCCGAGGAGGAGAAATTCACACAGCTCGCCGACGAAGCGGGGCTCTCAGATGTTGAGGAGTCCATCTCAGGAAGATGCTTGGATGCAGCTTCCCCGCGCTGATGTGAGAAAGTGGTAAGAACGTACGTGTGGAGTTATCATGAGGCTGAGATGCAGTCCCAACAAACTCAACTCTGCAGCTACGAAGGCTGATCTACGATGCAGGGGTCTCGCAAGGACGGCAACATCGGAAGAAGCATGGGGAGCTGGTCCGGTTTGAGGTGACAACCGAGCTAGCCTCAAAACGTCAGCCGAGTGTCAGGTCTATGACATTGAAGTTGGGTGCCACCGATGCTACCGATGAAAAGCAAACTTCGAATCCACGTGGCTGAACGGACCTTCGTGGCGTCAAGCTCTGTCTCCCAATCCCAGCCATGTTGCAACAACATGTCAACAACGACCACCGTTGCTATTTGACTTTAACAAACCCCTCACTCGTGCATTGAATCTCCAAATTCCCATTGGGTTTGCTCTTGCTGCAGCTCTAACGTAGCAAACGCAATTAGATGTTACGGCCGTGTCTTTCCACCTCGACTAGCTTTTCGAGCTGACGTTCTCCTCAAACAACCGACGGTAAGCGACGCGGAGAATGGAAGTGAAGCGGAAAGCACGCTTTGATTTCATCACGAAGATGCAAGGCAAGGCTTTCAAGGTTGCTTCGAAGGTTGCGGGGTACTGGCAAGGCGCGCGGGGTATGTGAAGTCTAAGAACACGAGGCTATGCGCGGCATTCTGATAGCCTCCAGACGATTTTGACATATGTGACACTTGGAGCCAAAGACGGCCAACGAGGGCCAGATTCAGGTCCACGATGATGATGGTGGCGGCCGCCATTTCCCCGCAATTGTTCGGCAGCCGGCAATCTTGATCTCTCCCCTTGAGGCAATTCGTATGTCCGATAGCTTACATGAAGTTTCAATGGCTGTAGCTTGTGAATGTTTGCTATGTAATCACGCAGCAGCTTGGTCCCTGAGTGCGTCTGCATACGCACAAACGCGGGGCTGAACCCAAGCGTCGTGAGGCAGGCGTGCGTGGCTCTGAAGGAATATGGGGCATTGATGGCCGTTCGCCGACAGGAAGATGAGATATGCAGCACGGTCTGACCAAAGGTCCAAGTCAAGATCCTCCCCCGCTGTGAAAGTCAGGACGATGTCTCAAGAGGCTGTCGGGCCGGGCGGGGAGAGCGGCCCGAGCCCGGTAGGGCGGACCCCGCCCGGCCTGAGTGGGGATTCGAGTGGGGATCGTGGCCGCCCAGCCGGCCGGGTCCAACCGAGAGCCTCAGAAAAGTCCATGTTTAAACGTGTGTCTGCTTGTATCACTGAAAATTAATTATACGAACTCGAAGACTCGGGTTCCTCGCTTGCAAATTGGTGTCTACTCAAGCCTGAAACGTTGCCCATGCATTCAACTTGGCATCAAACGCTGAGCCTCGATGCATCATTGTCTTTGAGATTTGCGAAAGCGACAACAACTAGCGAAGAGCTTTGGCACTTGAGATCTGCGGGAAATCGATCTCATTTTCCGTGCCTTAAGATCTATATTGGGGACCGCTAGCTTGGGCCCATTCACGGGGCTATTTGCGCCCGTTGCTATCAACTCACTGAGCATAGAGTGGTCTGTTCCACGCGTGAGCTCAGGGCATGGACTTGTCTCGACCATCGGAGGAAGTGAATCAAAAACATACGTCGGCCAACGTCCAGAATCCCTTACTTGACTGGTGTGTTTGCGTCTCTAGCAATGCCGTTGCTTTTGGAGCGATAGCAGAGCATGATCATTTGTTTGCCTAGCCTACACTTCTTTCATTACCTATCGACCGAGATTGAGAGTTATTATCAACTCCCTTGGTCTAAGCTCGTTCAGTGGCTATGCAAACCTACGCTCGACAAGCGAGATGCCTGGACTCTGTGTTTCGAGCAGCAAAAAATTAGTTTCCACAGAGTCTAGCTCGTCCGAGTTGGCATAACAGCTAGAAAACCAATGTCTTATCTTACACATTTCGCTCTAACCTGACTTTTTCTGCCCCCGATTAGGGCCGGAGAACTTGCGGATAAGTGGAGTTGTCAAATAGCTTTCGTGAGTCGTGAGCGTGCAT